ATATACAGTTATATCAACACGAGTGGCAATTGGGAAAACGAGAAATTGTGTGGAAGCACGACGCCCGAAGGGCGGAGTGTTTTCACACAATTTCGAGTTTTCCCAATTTCCACGAGTGTTGATATAACTATATATCAATACGGAAAAAATGTTTTATATTTGTTTTATAATATAGCAATGTCAAAAGCCCGAAGAATAAGAAAAATTTCCGTGTTTACAAGCGGCGGAAAATTTCCCGTGTTGACATGGAGTTATATCAACACGGCTCTTAGCCAATCAGCATTCAGAATTTACAAATGCTATATTATAAATATATTTATAATATAGCATTTGTAAATTCTGAACGCTGATTGGCTAAGAGCCGTGTTGATATAACTCCATGTCAACACGGGAAATTTTCCGCCGCTAGTAAACACGGAAATTTTCCTTATTTTTCGGGCTTTTGACATTGCTATATTATAAAACAAATATAAAACTTTTTCCGTATTGATATATAGTTATATCAACACTCGTGGAAGTTGGGAAAACTCGAAATTGTATGAAAACACTCCGCCCTTCGGGCGTCGTGTTTCCACACAATTTCTCGTTTTCCCAATTTCCACTCGTGTTGATATAACTGTATATCAACACGGAAAATGTTTTATATTTGTTAAATATTGCATGTCATAAACATACTCGTTTATATTAATTCGGCATCGAATTAATATAAACGAGTATGTTTATGACAGACAAAGTATACGTCACTTTGGCTATATAGAGCCTCGATTTCGTGCATGTGACATTCGTTAAATCCTCAATCATGAAAACGAGGCTTTATAGCCAAGGTAACGTACTTGCAACTGCACTAACGAATTTTGGCCTTGATCACCGGCCCCTCATAGAATTCGGGCCGATTTTCTAACCGTAACAGAGTTACAGATTTTTGTTATTTAGCCTCTTTTAGGGTAGCTATACCTACTGATCAGGGCGCTTCTATATAGAATAAGGTTCTATATAAGCGCCCTGCTTCTGATATACATTTGAACCGCAATTGCTGCACTTGATCAAAACGACAAAAGCAAAATACATGCAAACATTCGCTACCGACTCAAAGTGTGAAAAGAGGCGGTCAACGCTCTGCTGAATGTCGTGGTTTTTTCCGGGTGCTGCGGTTTCCTCACACATCTCTCTCCGAGAGGTTTTCAACTTTCCATAACACAAAAATACGGAAAACACGGAAAAATTTACGGAAAGTTGGAAACCTCTGCGGAGGAGAGAGCTCCCATGCACATTCTCGTAGGTTAGGCATAAACATAGTTAGAAAAGTAATATCACAATTCAGTGTTGTAAAGATAAATAGTCTAGACTAAGTATAGGTAATAGAAGTAAGCGTAGTACTTGATGTAAATTATGTATAATCGGTACGAAAAGCCCCAATGGGGAGTGAGCTGAATAATGTATCAAATAAATGCCGGATAACATTCTCACAGTTTAAATTAAAATAAAATCGCACAATCATTATCAATCATTTGTTGCGTGGTAGTATTGCATGTAAACGGAAATTAATTGGGAAGCATGCATGAGAAAAAGTTTCTTTGTCTTGTTTTCTCATGTGAATTAAAAGACAAAAAGACTTTTGCATCCCATGTTTAGGGAAGTATTAATACTTCCCACCTCCAGCATGAAAGGGGAGAAATTAAGTTATATAATTATAGAACATGAACTAGTGGAATAAGAATTCGAGGAAGTTATAAATTCGTCATACTACAAGTATATTAGTAATTCGCATCTAAGATAAAATAATTTCTATGTTCATTTTGAAACTTTCAGGTAGTGTCAAGAGCATTTGACAGGTTTTAATCTCAGTAAAATTGCCTGATTATATGGAGAGTTTTCGGCCCGGGCTGAATTTTAACCCAGTTAAATAACCAAGCTCAATAGACGATTCCCCTTATTACGTTTTTGTAGCGCTTTACATTGTGGTTATAGTGGTATCACCAATGGGTATCACTGACATTCAAGATGGCTTATTTTTTGTCCTGACCCGTGCAAGAACTTTTAAAAAAGCTAGGGTCAGGTGCGTGATAGCCAACAGCAAAATATTCTCGAAAACATTCAATATTTTCATTCGAGGCCGCTATCTTTATCAGTGATACCACTATAACCACAATGCAAAGCGCTACGAAAACGTAATAAGGAGAATTGTCTATTGCTTCACGATTAAATTTCCAGATTAGACCCGAGATGAGTTAAAATTTCGGCTCGAACCGGGATGAAAGTACTCTGGTTGCCACAGGTTCTCATATCTTCCGCCCGAATCTCAGCCCGGGCTGAAACGATCAAGTCTCAAAATCACCTATTCCGCTTCTTTGAAGAATTTAAAATGTTGTTTATGTCTATTATTTGATTTGTGCGAATCTGTGATCTCGTTTAATAAAACTAGAACAGACAAAAATAGAGTTACTTGAAGGATTTTTTAAACCGTCATGCAATCGACTGGAAATTTCATCCTGGTCAACTGGGAGCCCGCATCCAGACTACCCGCGCACCAGTGTCAGTGAAACCTTCAAAAGGGTATATATCAGGATTTCGGGTATCTCACTCGATAAAATGATAGCCCTGAAGTTCGCGAATTTTGTATATATTTGCATTACACGCGGGAAAAATAACAATTTTTGAGCCGAAAGTGGTTATTTTTACCGCGCGTAACACAAATGTATACTGAAACTTGCGAACTTCACAGGGCTACATTTTCTTCATTTTACAACATTTAGCAACCAATCTTTGCCTGTGGTGTTGGATTTCGTTTTAGCTTCCTTTTCGTTTTAGCTTGCCTTGATCAAAATTTAGGCCATAGTATAGCTGGAATCACCCATTCTGTTACTCGATAGAACTAACAAACGACCAATCATATTTCGTGTTCTTTCACATGACTAAACGTCATCCAATCAAATTATTCCAGATTCCACAAGGAATGCAATCATGCTAAATTGTCACGACTTTTCCTTTCCTCATAGAAAATAAACAGTATATCACTGAAAAAGACAGGAATCACAAGATCTAGATACACTTTCCCCGCCAGGTACTTAAATGCTATAAAGCTGCTGGCTGGTTTGCTTTTTTTTATACAGTAAAGGTAAGTTCACAGATTTATATACCGCACCAGCAAATTTTTCTGATTATTTTCTTTTCACTGAAAATTCGAGTGAAAATTATTCATTACGATTTTATTTTCCTGTTCTTTTGTTTGATTTAACGGCCATAGACTCTTTGCAGCTTGCAACGTGAACCAAATCCTCAAGGCCATGTACACCAGGATATTTCTCTACATGCTACAATCAGAACAACGTTTTTAAGAAGAAAAAAAACGTTGCCTCGTGTTTAATACATGTGAACTTGGCCGATTCGAAAACAGGCCGCCACAATTTTGCATTATTTTCTATTTTATGCATTACCAGGCTAATAAACAAATCAACAGAGAGTGAGAGTATTTAAACTAAGGCAAAGTGTAAAAGCTTAAGGTTGAAAACGATCCATGCAAGCGAAATTTAATGTAGTCAATGTAGCCTTTGAATTCTGCAAAAAAGTACCAAAACGAGGCTAGTATAGTCGGGCTTGATTCCTAAATCTAGCATAAACTTCGGCCTGTTTAGCATGAGAATACCAGCTGTTTCATTTATACTTTGCAGAACTGTTGGTCTTGAAATATTCTATACAAGGAGGCAGTGACAACCTTGGTTGAAATTAATTTTAGAAGAAAAAAGAATGACAAATATTTTTCGAATCGGTCTATTTCTGAAACTGAGTCAGCCATTATTATTTTTCATTTTCATTGTATAGTATATTCACTACGACAGGCCGGTGTTGTAAAACATTACATTTAAATACTATGCAAACGCAACGGCTTTAAATTCAAATGATAAACGGAGAAATGAAATCACAACAGAACGAAATGTTTTATCACTCAAGCCCAATTTTTTATTCCATGTGTTTTACCCCAGATCATTTTTCTTCCTTTAATGCTGCATCTCTTTCCAAACCTGTGCTCCAAAACCTATTGTGAAGCTACCATGTTGTGTGGGAAACCGTCACTTAGTCTAAAGGCAAGTATAACAAGTTGTTCGGTGCATGGGGGATCCCTGTATCATGGATCCTTAACATGTCGGTTGCTTTAATTAAAGTGATGTGGAGTTGTATAGCTGGCAAGGAAAGTAAATTTCCCAAATCTCCTAAACCCTCCAGCTACATTATACGTTTGATGACAAAGGCCATCTCAATCAAGTTTTTTTTACATGTAATGAATATTTTAGTAAAGTTATAAAAATGCTCATCTTTTCACGAGGCTACCAATTAGACTGCTTATAATTTACAGTTTTATGTTTCCATTCACTCTGGTTCAAGTGAATGATAGTTGCAATCCCTGAACCAATATAAACATTCACAGCCAAACTGATTAACACTCCAGTTGTCTTAAATGGATCATGAATATAATTGGTTTAGGGATTGAGTTCATTTATGTAAACCACAGTTTTTGACAGAGCAGCAGGCAAAAGCATACCAGATATAATACCAGATATAATTAAATCTGGTTGCCATGGTTTCCATGAAGTACTATAACAACTAACTGCATATAAAGACCCTACTTAAAAATGAAACCACACGTCTGTTCTTTCAGGAAACCTTGACTATTCTTTACAGAAATGTAGCAAATTTACATAATTATTTGCATAATACTGCTAATATTAACACATACATGTATATTCTAAAATTTCTGTTCTACAAATTAGGTCTGTCCAAATGACAGTTGACCAATAGTTGGTCAAAAATTCATTGCACGTTTTAGAAGAAACATTTGCTAAAATAATAAGTTAATAACTTACAATTTTACATCAAAATCCTATTAATACAAGGTTTATAAAAAAGTAGATAATTTTAAAATGGCCACTAAAATGAAATTATTGCAAGTTTTGGTGAAAAGTTTCCCAAAGAGAACCCTAAATGACTGAAATATTTGACTTGTTAAGAGCCTTCTCGTTTCTTCAACACTATTATTTTTCTTAATATTAACTACATTAAAAAAGGTTTGCACACAAAAATGGAAGGTTCAAATTATGTGAAAAAAATGGGGAAGTTTAGAATGTGCTTTGACATACACCACGTCAACTGTCCAGCCACTAAAACTTGGACTTTTTGGGATTGAAAGTGAATATTGAAAGAGATTTAATCACATATGAAATGCCAATGTGTGAAATGTAGGAATTCAATCAGTGTAATTAAGATCAAAGATCAAACTGTTTTTTTTCTTTGACAGTTCATGAAGCACATTTTAAAATTGGCCCCTATGAATTCAAATTACATTTTAAAGCCTGTTTAACACAAGTAATTCTGTTGGCAATTTTTTTCATACTGACAGATGTAACTGAATGAGTGGCATGAAAAATATTTAGAAATGTATACTTCCAAAAAGTGATTCCATACTTTTGGCAGTGAGTTACATTAACATCTGTCAAGGAAGTGAAAATTGCCAAGAAGATCACTAGTGTTAACCAGGCTTAAACCTTCCATTTTGACAATATTTGCATTGAATTGTCTACTTTTTTATACACCTCTTACAGTACAGTGATTTTATGAAACAATTCATACATACCTGATGTGCTAAAAACTGTTATGAAATTTATTCATCTATATTTTACAAATTATTGTAATGCTTTTTGTGGGTCGTCTAGCATGTTGAGTAAGTCAAAGTCAGGTGGACTTTTTAGCAATGAATCAAAATCTGAACTGTCTGTTGCTCCGCCCCCAAGATCTTGACCAAGGAATGGAAACAGTGATGTCTCAGAATTGGATTTCATGTCAAGAAGGTTAGTAAATGAGTTTGATAGTGGACTCTGTAAATTAGTAGATGGTTGTGCTCTACTTTGGGCAAGTGACATAGCATTACTTTGGTAGAGTTGTTCTTGATTCATACCAAGATTACTAGGTTGCCCCGCAAGATGTTGCTGTTTCATGTGTGTTAGTGGTGCTTGTGGATGAACACGAGTTAAGTCTTGATTTGGATGGTCATTGCCATTATTATTCATGTCAGGTACGTTTGGTTCATTTTGAAGTCGAACAACTGGTGGTGATGACTGATTGAACATATTATTACCAGTAGCAGCATGTCCAGGAAGACTGCTGCTTCGTTGATATGGAAAATTATTTCTCTGGTTCATCTCAGGATTATGAAACCTGTTAGTGACTAAATTATCATCCATACTTGCATGTCTTGTATAGGCAGAATGTAGTTTACTTTCTTGACCATATTGATATGGATGCTGGTATCCAGGGTAATCACCACTGTATGGTACCTGAACAGGTCTGGTTGGTGGTCCAGATTGATTAGTATAACCAGGAGGGTTGTAATGTTGCAAGTGAGATAATGGTTGTTGCGCTCGGGTTGCTTGCATAGGGTTATATTGAGTGGCATGTGTTGCAGGGACTCCTCCAGAAAATTTATGTCTAATGTCCATAACTGATGAAGACCTCGCTAAATGTTGTGCTTGAGAATACGATGGCAAACGACTTGCCATTTGTTGTTGAAATACAAGTTTTTGTTGTTGTTGTTGTTGTTGTTGTTGTTGTTGTTGTTGCTGCTGTGCAAGCATATTGATTTGATGACGAGGAAGGTTTGGCATGTGTCCTTGCAATTGAGCTTGTGTTTGTTGCACAGGCTGTCGCAAAGGTTGCATTAAATTCTGATGAATTCTTCCAGCTGCATGTGGAAATGTTTGTTGTGTAATTGGTGCAATGCCAGAATATCTTACTTTAGGATGTATTTGATAAGCTGTATTTCCTCCTGGAGGGTTCATCACAGGATTTCTTGCTTGCAGTTGTTGGGGAGTTGCACCAGTTATCTTCTTTTGTAACTGTAAGTTTTTCCGTTGCTGTAGTTGTTGATAAACACGCTGTCGTACAGGAGGAATATGACTTGCTCGCTGAGCAGCCATTCGAGGATTGTTTTGCTCCCCTGGAGGATTTAAATACATATTTCTTTCAAAACGCCCTTTACTAGCAAGCCTCCCGTTTTGTTGAGCTATTACAAACTGTTGTAATGCTTGTGCCGTTGAACGTGATATGGCGTATTGTTGAGCTGAAGAGGTCGGTAACTGTGTTGTATTGTCATTCGGTAAGCTTAATTGATTACCTTTTATGTCAGGACTGTCATTTAAGCCATTCCCTAAAGATTGACTATGTGGTCGCAAAATAGAAGTTTTTCCAATGTCATTCGATGAATCAGGTTCACTAGAACTCTCGTCTCGCCTCTTAATCCCCTGTAGAACAAGTTCGAACTGACTGAGTTGATTCTCGAGGTCGTCCTTTTTACTCGTAGCATTACCTTCAATGTCCGTTAATAGTCTGAAATCATCTTCGCTCTTCGGGCGAGCTGCTAATAAACCATTAGAGGTGGTCGAGATATCATTACTTGAGCTAAGTAAACCATTTTCTTGTTTGAAAGTTCCCGTGAATTCAGACGTTCTTGATTTCTCGCTTGGTTGACCACGGCTTGTAAATGACGGCGTAGCGAAATCTCCGCCACCATATTGTTGTGAAACTCTCGTCATTGTTCGTTCTACATTTTCACAAGCCGAAGTATTAAAGGGTGAATTTGTTTTAGAAAGATCTTCGGTTTTAACAAAGTCTGTAGCGTGGCCATTCACAGCAGCATAAGGCATGTTATTGGACGATAAAGATGGCTCGGACTCTTCAGTTGTATTGAAGTTCGGCTTTACATTACAATGAACATCATTTTGGTTTTCAAAACGAGCATATTTCTGCGGGACGGGGGTTGACATTTCATCATTATTTTGTCTCTCGCCGTCAGCCTGTGAGCTTGGGAATTTTCGTTTTGCACTGGCCTGAAATATTTGGGTAAATAAGTAAAATATAAGAATAAATCTCGATGCTCTATGAAAGCTGTGCGAAAATACAAATGAAGAAAATTAATCTTTAACAAGAGTTTAAAGTGAATAAAAAATCTACTTGTTTGTAATTAGGTTGTAATTTAGAAGTAAGAAAATATAGTGTGTATAGTACCTGCAAGCCAGTATTGTTAGCTGCCGCTGTAGTCTTAGACTCAGGACCACTTTCCTCTTGTTTTGTCAGCTTACTAATTTGCTCCGGACGAATTTTAGCATTCATCTTTACTTTATTTTCCAAAATTTTCGATTGATAAATCCGACTTTCTTGTAGCTGCTTTAATTCTCGCGATGGTTGGGTTTCTTCGAGCCGGGCCTGACAGCTATCGTGACGTTTTCGAAAGCAATCGATTCGTTGTCTCAAACGTTCCACAATCGCTTGCCGCTTTGGCGTGTTCGGGGGCACTTCGCTCATTTCTTGGAGGAAGAAATCAGTAGAATTTTACCACTAGGCACCCTAATCGTATCACAATCATAGGATGCCGTGAATGCTTATTTGTTAAAGTCTAAAAGCAACCAAGCCACGAAAACGCTGTAATATTGTTCATCTGTTTTACGTCCTGCATAACTCCTCTCTTCGCCCAAGCCGTATATGTGACGTCACAAGAGCTTCAAATCAAAACAGACTTCCTTCTGCATAATTACAATTTGTAAGCTTTGTAAACATTAGTACTCAAAGGCTGCTCTTACGTTTGTCGTTTTTATTCAGTGAAATACATTAACAGATAAATTGTCAATTTTTTATGTTATAACTAAAACGTTTTATCTCCCTTTATTCCCCTCACGACGAAAAGCATTGAAACGCATCGTAAAGGAAGGCATTATGTGTTGATCGGAAGTCGATATGCACAAATTGTGACCGAAATTATTGAGTATATGTTACATTTTTTGAAAGCTCTCGGTTCGAATTAGGAAATTGATACATTGTAATGTTGTTAAGTCATCTAAAATGTATTAAAACGTACTGTAACTAAATGTTAAAGAGGTAAAGAAACGAAATATATTGAAGCTTCCGGCTGTTTACTACGGTAAAAATCTGTGGTATAGCATAATAGCATGTTTCAACTGCAGTAGGCCTTGTTTTCCTGTTCTGTGATTGGCTAAGTAAAGAATGGTAATTAGCTTTAGTAAGAAATTCAATCGGATTTCCGGTATGCATGTCAATAAACGTTTGACTCGAAAGTTTGTATCACTCTTTCCAAAGTTTTAGCGACTGTTTTTAGTCGCTCCATATTAATCCCTTCAAAAGTGCACATTCAGCTCTTACCAACAATGAACGTATAAACTAAACTGCAAATGGCCGTATTCGGGCTATTCGTTCAACTTCGCAAGCCAGGGTTTTTCTACCATAACCAGGGGCTGGTTGTACGAAGGCCCGATTTTTTTTAACCTTTGTAAAAATACTGAACAGCGGTGAAATTACGGATGTGAACTCCACAGGTAGTATAAAAAGCCATTAACTTATAAATACTAAACTTTAATCTGAGTAGTGCCAATCAACGACTGATATAACGATTGCTTTTAAATAATCACTACTCCGCGCGGTGGAAGCGCTATCCGGCCTTCGTACCGACCGGCCTCTGGATGTTTAGATTTTGTGTAATGTTTTAATATTATAGTGTAAAAATATTATTTATTTAGTGTTCATTTTAGGCAGGGACTATGTTTTAGCTATAACAAAAGCAACTGTCTCAGCTCTAGGCTAGTTGCGGTAATTATTTTTCAGAATAATACACTTCACTGGCAAACTGCAAAGATGCCTAGGACATAACGAAGTCATAGATAATCGTGCCGTTAATATTTCTTTAGTAGTTTAGTTGTTGATGCGTCATATAGCGGCAGGGCACAGAGAAACTGCTAGATTCGGAGCAGCCTACCTCCAGGCGGAGCTCGTTTTCTCGATGTCAGTTGATGAGATCTTGGGATCCTGGACCTTGACGAACATTTCCTTGAGGAACATTTTTCAATTTTTCACACATCGGTTATGGGAATATCTTAAGGAATCACTATATCACTTCTTTATCTGTCATACTGTACGGTCAAATTTCCCGTTGCTTTTATGTACTTTTCCACGGCTTTGTCATCAACGGTTGGGAAGGATTCATTTCGTGCCGGTGGGCGGTGGTAGTCAATTACGAATGATATCTGTAAAAGTCCGAAAAATTCATGTAAATATATGATTAACCTTAAAAAAGCATGAACATACCTTTGAAATATACTCAACTAGGTGAATGAATGCCATTGCGAAATCTAGAGTTCAGTTTAAAATAGCATTTCCTGCCATCAAATGCGACTTTTCCCATTTAACATTTCCGACAGCGCAGAATGTGACTTTCATATTAAGTTAAGTTCTCCAACTCTCACGGGGGCTTAGTCCCTTCACTTCTGTATTTGGGAGGCACTACTCCCTAGCCTCTCCCCATTCCGACGCCAATCGGCCCATGTAACGGAATCGGAGCTCTTTCGAATAAATGCATCTGATCTCAGGGATGGATTTGTATTAAACACTACTGTCTAGTGTTTTGCTGCCATAGCTCCACTAGGGTCAACGGTCGCGCTCCCTGAACCATGACCAAAGCTCGATGAGCACCTGCCTACCAGATCTGGCTGGATCCATATGTCTTATCTTTATCCTGTATGAGTGTCAGTATGAGTATTTCTTGTATTCGGACAGGAAAATGCTATATAATTGCGTTTTACTTCGTAGCTTCAGAGCACTTCAGAACATTAAAGAACACAAAATATTGTTTAATTTAATAATTAACAATTATTGGATGAGGTTTTTGTGATATGCGGAATTATCAAGGTCGAGGTAAGTGTTATCAGCCGAGCCGCAGGCGAGGCTGATACCCAGTAACGCTTACCGAGACCTTGATAATTTTGCATATCGCAAAAACCGAATTCAATAATTGTTTTATTGTTTTATTATAAATCGCTCGCAGTACGAGTGCCCATGCAAGCACCCCCGCGCGCTCGCTCATCATAGCCACTGATCTATATAGAAACACTGTAGTGTTGCTATTTTTGGTATGTTATTTGCGCCTGGGTACGAGGCTGTACAAATGCTATATTATAAAAATGTTTGGCGTGCAAGTTGCGCGTCAACGATAAAAGTTCTTTGTTTCCATTTCAGATTTTGATTCAACAAGGCGAAACTCTCCCCAGAGATTGCTTGCATCGGTGTCCATGTCAATTAGGCAGATGAACTCTATACATTCAACAGGAGTAATAATAAGGTTATAAGGTCCTGCCACTCCAATGCAAGTATGAGATCAGTGTCAAAAATACAGAATATGCCTGCAGTTCTGGTGGTCAGGTGAACTCGCAGTTTGTGGAATACTTAGTGTAATTTGAAATTAATTCTTTGATTAGTTATTTGGTTTGATAATTAAAATTTTTGCACGTGTTCCAAGTGGTTCATGTTTATACTGTATATTTTGGGGAATTTATACCAACGATGAAACCTAAATTTATACACGTACTGAGGTTACATTTCTGGACTATGACAGTTTAAAGTTTAAGGAAAGATGAAGTTTTCTTACAAGGTAAGACGAGTGTTTATATTGACCTTTATTGGTATCAAATTATTGGGCATTTGATTTATTAATATTTATCAATTTATGTAGACTGCATTTTATAGACAGGGTGAATGTATGGACAAGTATGTGTATAGACAATGTATGTTCAAGTTAAATGGTTATGCCGAAGACAGTCGACGGCATAACCATCATCCAATTCAAGTTGAATGGTTATGCCGAAAACAGTCCAAGGTATAACCATCCAATTCAAGTTAAATGGTTATGCCGAAAACAGTCAACGGCATAACCATCCAATTCAAGTTGAATGGTTATGCCGAAAACAGTCAACGGTATAACCATCCAATTCAAGTTACATGGTTATGCCGAAGACTGTTGACAGCATAACCATCCAATTCAAGTTACATGGCTATGCCGAAGACAGTCAACGGCATTTAACCATCCAATTTAAGTTGAATGGTTATACCGAAGACAGTCAACGGCATAACCATCTGGGACAATTCATTAAGTTGAATGGTTAAACCATCCAATTCAAGTTGAATGGTTATGCTGAAGACAGTCAACAGCATAACCATTCAATTCAAGTTGAATGGTTATGCTGAAGACAGTTGAATGGTTATGCTGATGACATAGATGGTTATGCCGTTGACTATCATCGGCATAGCCATTCAACTTGGATGGTAATGCCTTTGAATGCCATTGCCATTACCATTCAATAAGTTAATCATAACCATGGTTCACTTTAATCGAAAAGAGTAAGCGAGGGGCCTGTGGCATATGGCACTTCTGCCATATGGTTAATCCAGCACTGTGAATAACCATGTTTATGACATTAGGCTATGGCTGAAGCAAAATGACATGAATTCCAGTGTGCTACTCCATGTAAATGCTGGAGATACCCCAACATTAGCCCTTGATCTTGACAATAATTTTGGGATTAAAACTAGCCTCATCCCAGGTGCTTTGATATGCTAAGCGGTTGTGTGACGTGCGCACAGGAATTGAGAAAGTGCTCTAACCAGGGGTACAGGGCTGGACTAATTACCCATGTCAAAACAGACAATCCTGTGTGCTTTTGAGACTGTAAAGTAATCTCACCTCGATATACACACGACTTTGAGTAATTTCACACCAATTTATAAGCTATGGTGTGGAGTGCATGGAATGCACCCTGGTGGAAATTCAAGATAAACATGTTTGAAGAACTGAGAGTTGCTGCATAATGGTATGCTCTGTTGTTTTGTATTTTCTAATTCTTTATTTAAACATTAACCCTGTAGCATAAAAATAGTGTATTTACAAAGCAGATAGCATTTTGTGTCCTCCACACAGTACCATGTGTCCACAATAAGTTAATACTTATTGAGGAAAACTGACTCTCTCCCCCTCCCAATGTTCCCAAAGATCACATGCCCAACCTTGGGGATGACTTGCCCTCGATCCCCTCGGCATCAGGTCCAACATTTATAGATGCGTAAATCAAAATTGTTTCATTCAATTCTGCTATTTCTAGTTCTCTAATCTGACTGGAACGGTTTACAAACAAGGAAATATTATTTTTTCATCTCATGGTGATCGTGTTATAAGTCCTGTGGGTAACCGAGTTACAGTGTTTGATCTGAAGAGGTATGATTCTGTGCTGTCAACAAATAGATTTCAGTTATGGACTTATTCTGCAATGTTGGTCATGGGAAGCATGTGTCTGCAGTTTGTACTGTACATAACTGCAGGCCTGGGATGATTTTCCCATACAAAAACAATGAGGGTAGAGGATATGAATGCTCAATTGCAGTACCGTATGACTGCACAATTACAGGGGAAACCATATATGTTGGTCAATGCATTACTCATTATGACAAGCACAAGACAACATGTCATCGATATAGTAGCTACCTTACTTGTACAATAGTGATAATTCAGATTTAGTCCAACCCATCAAGCATTGGCTCATTTTATTAGCCTCTTTCTCACTTTACTTCTAATGGTCCCTTGGTTAGCCTTGCTTACCCGGCTGTTGTAAAACAAGTGGGTCTAGTTTTGTCTAATTCACATGTGCACAACATCCAAATTTCATAATAACAGAAAGTAGCCTGACGTGGATGAAACATTTTTTTCGTCCCTAGTAACAAATCGTTGACTTTGCCATTCGAAAATGGAAAGGATATTACTTGCATAGCTGTGTCTCCTGATGACAGTCTTATTGTGACAATTGATGAAGGTACAATATGTAATATATAGTACCTAGTATTCTAGTAATGAATACAGAATATAATTCAAGTATATAATTGGTGGGTTTCACTAACCATCACAGGACATCAGATGGTCATGCCTGCCAAAAGGGGACAGGGGATAGAAGGACATATGTATGGTATGGAGGGAATGGGATCAGTTTGATGTATTGATTGAAATGAATCACTAGCCTTATACGAAAGTTCAAATGCCAGTTAAAATTTAAAAGAATGTTGTTGAGAAGATCTTGTAGTCCAAGAAGATTATTATTGCTGCTCGAACAACCTTTCGTTTTCATTATACTAAAATCTATCACGAGAAAAAATAAAAATAATTGTTGTACACTGTAACTTACTTCAATAAATCAAAATCATCCCACTTCACGTCTCGTCCCGGCAAAGCAGAAGCAAAACAGCCCGTTAATCATGGTCAACTTGATTGTAGCTCGATCAAACTTTGTTGCTGACCGGTTATTTTTGAAATAATTAGTAAAATACAGCGTATGTATTATGAATTTATGTAAGTATAGTATGCGTATTGAGTTATATCTCGCTCATTAATAGTGATCCTTTTCAGTCTTCGCTGTATTTTACTCATTTCAAAAATAATACACTTACTGTACAGTCATGCAAACAGATAACAAGAAATTTGTTTCGAGACATTTCATGATCCGTGTTTCAAGATAGACCAGACGTTAGTAACAAATACGTTGTAAACTAGAGTGAAGATTGTCATCGTTATCCACTAGCGCATGGTCAGGAGAACATATGTACCACATGTAAACTAAAATTTTACGAAATGTACACTCCTCTCATCCTTCATCATCACCATTTCACTGCAAAGAGCAAATATTTATGTTTTAAGGTTACAGTGAAATTGCGTACTCGTGTAATATATGCAGTCTTTCTCTGACAACAGAGATGGCGAAGAAAAACCGATTTCAAATTGTATCGGAAGGCACACAAATGTGACTGGTCAAAATCAGGACTGGTGAAGCAAAAAAGTTACCGGTCAAGGGACATTTTTGGCCGGTCATTGTCTGTCCATTGTTTTTAGCTGTATATAGCATATGGCAGTATTTCTTCACCTCCATGAGTACATACTGTACACCAAAAGCAGTTTAATTTATGTCAAGAAATGTCAGATTGGTAATTTTACAAGATATTTGTGGAACTACAATATATGGTTATTTTGTGTTTTAGATGGGAAGAGTATTTTGTCAAGTTTACGAAGCTTGGCTGTCCTACATCATTTCAGTTTTAAAACAAAAGTTCATGATTTGAAGTTTAGTCCTGATGGAAGGTAATCACTCCACCCTCACACTAGCTAGACTGCCATATAGAAATATACGTTTGTCTTGTGATTATATACTGTAATGTATGTGCACACATGTTCAGCCACATATACTGTATGTTTTAGATTTTCTTGTTCTGGCTTTCGCCGCTTTTTATTGCACCACTGCAAAAAATCCCCGAGTGATTTCGACTCAAAAAGTTTGTAGAATAATGCACCTACACAGTGACTCAAAATTTTGAGTAAAATTACTTTTTGCCATAAATTGAGCTAGTACACAGTACAGACACAGCACTCTTAAAAGCATTAATAAGCTTTTAAAACGCCTTAAGCAAGCGACGTTTTCGTCAACACGAATGTCACCTGAAAATTGGTAGGACTAATTTTGGTGGCATTTTGCATCATAGTGCTCGTGTAAGCAAGCAAAAAACTTTAATCTTTTGTCACATATGTTGAAGATTACCACAAACTGATACAAACACAGTTTTTAATCCAGTCCCCCCTCGGCAAGCTGACGTCCATGTTGACAAAACTCGCTATTATGAACCGAGGGCGTGTATTGTTCTGTATATATCATGGTCACTTGAAACGGCAAGCAAATCTCTTTCTGTCTCGCTTCAAACCCCAGAACGTTGCGGTCCGCACTTATTTAACAGTAGCTAATTTTTCAACTTGCCCCAAACGCTTGTGACTTGTGAGCCATTCTTTGTGTTCTTACCACGCTCTGACGTCATACTGTATAACTGAACGGCAAAATGTTATATTTGGAAACCAGGTTCTTCGCAGCAACAGTTGGAATGCAGATGCAAGTGTGGTTTGCACCAGGTCACACTAAAGATTTTTCTCCTTTTACACTTCACCGAACATACACGGGACAATATGATGATACTGTGTCTATTGACTGGTCATGTGATTCCAGGTACGTCATTGACTGCGTGCATAATATGACTGCTTGGAGCGAAACTAATCAGTCATTTTGAGTGATAAAAACGTGGCAAGTTCTTTGGACTGTAGAAAACTATGATAAACGTGAACAATGACAAGTTGACGTAAACAAATGATATGAATCAGCGCTCAAAACTACATGGAAACACTTTGCTTTCTGTTGCTTTTTTATTTTTATATTTTGATTATAAGTACGAAGGCAATGGACCAGTGTTTACGTCACGTAACTTTCATACAATGAATTTTCCTCCTCTGTATTAAACATTGCGTGACGTAAGCATTTCTAAGGTCTATCGAAGACTGAAATTGGAAGCGATAAAAAGGATTTATTATTATTTTATTATTTAAAAATATTTAACAACGGTAGCCCTATCATGTTATAGTTAAAAACTGTTTTCCAAGGGGCCGTTCACACAAGGGGCCGTTCACACGTATATACATACATACATACACATACATACATATATATATATATATATATATATATATATATATATATATATATATATATATATATATATATATATATATATATATATATATATATATATATATATATATATATATATATACATACATACAAAAGAAACTTAAACTACAAACTACTACTAATTACTATAATAACTATATTTACAAGAATATTTTAATAATTTCAAAATATCATATGGAAACTAATCTGCGCCCCCAACAATAGCTCTAAACCTCTTTATGCCCATTGACTTACTCTTAAGATCATTTGTGAGATCATTCCAACATTTTGCACCAGAGTAACTAATGCTTTTTTTCAAGAAATTTGTATTTGGCTTATCTAACGTAAAGTTGTTTAAATTGCTTCTTAAAGAGTAATTTTGATTATCACAAATATTAAACAAATTTCCTATTGAATCAGGTGCGATCCAATTTTTGACCTTGTACATTAATAATGCTTTTTTGCTACGTCTGCGCTCTTCCAACGTTTCCCAGTTGAGTTGGCGCAGTAACTCCTTTGAAGGAGCATCGTAACTGCTCCCTGTTAAAATTCTAGCCGCTCTATTTTGCATTTTTTGTAGTTTCTGTATGTTATAGTTAGCTGCATTATCCCATATCATGCTACAGTAATCGAAATATGGGAGTATTAAGCTGTTGTATATAGTTTGCAAGACAGATTGGGTTACAAGCGATTTGATCCTTCTCATTATTCCTAAACCTTTCGAAACTTTAGCATTGATTTCATTTATATGGTCTTTCCACATTAATTTGTCATCGATTATAACTCCAAGTGTTTTGCATTTATTAATTTTCTTTACAGGTTCATTACCTATGCTTATTATTGGTTCTTCTTGAATGTTTATTATTTTTTGTCTTGAACCAATAATCATGTACTCTGTTTTATTGTGACTAAGAGTTAATTTATTTGCGAGAAGCCAGTGGTGTACTTTTTCTAAATTGTTATTCAAATTACTTTGGAGTTGTTGTACTGTCTGACCGGTTGCTGTTATATTTGTATCATCGGCAAACATGCTTGCACTAGCACTGTCTAGACAATTAGGTAAGTCGTTGACATAGATAATAAATAGCAGGGGTCCTAAATTGGAGCCTTGCGGCACACCAGTTTTAATTGGTTTCATTTCTGAAAATATGTTGTTAGCTTTGCAGTTTGCTTTCTATTGGAGAGATACGACTTAAACCAATTTAATGTTATACCACGAATTCCATACATTGCTAATTTGTTTAGTAAGATTTGATGATCTACACAATCAAATGCCTTTTTTAAATCCAGAAATAAAACGCCGTTCAGAAGTCCATTGTCCGTATTGGCAACACCAATACTTCGCATTTTATATGCAACTGCAGTTTGCGAACTATGCTTATACCCAATTGTCTGTCATGTAAATAAGCCATACCCTCGGACGATTGCATTGATTCTGCTGTCTATTGTCAGCTGCTCACTTGCTTATTTTACTTTATTTTATAGGTTTTTAGTGGTTGGATCGAGGGATATGACAGCTCGTGTTTTCTCTATTGATCCAGTCGTTGGCTTTGTCCCTGTGACATTAACTGGACATAGAAATGCCATTGTGAATTGTTTCTTTGACGTAAATTCTCTTAAAGTATCCTTTAATGAAACCAATGCCCTGGTCAAACGTGAACAAGAGTTGCATGAGAGTTGACTGGATGTTACACTCCGCGCGTTTTGCAAAAATTCTCATCAAAATTTGAACCAGCTCAGATGAGAGTTAACGAGAGTGCATGTCGGAGAGTCGATGAGAGTTGCAACTCTCATCGTCGTTTGATCACGGTTAAATACTACAATAACGTACTCTGGGAATTGTAGTAATGGTGTATACAAATGCAAAAAAATCCTTCCCACAACAACAACCACCACCAGAACAACCACCACCAGAACAAACATCGCCACCAGAACCACCACAAATCATAACCACCACCACCATTCGCAAACAACACCACTCACAACCACAGCAACCACCACAATCACAACCATAACAACTACACCACAATAACAACCACCACCACAACAACCACCACCACAACAACCACCACCACAACAACCACCACAACAACAACCACCACAACAACAACCACCACAACAACCACCACAACAACAACCACAACAAC